ACAAAACCATTATACCCTGATTTCCCATTTTCAATGGGTTCAGGGTATAACAACACTATTTTTGGGTGAAGTATTGGGAGACAGACAGGGCTGAGATAGAGTATATAAAAAGTAGACAACTGAGAAGCAACATTATTCAATCAACTGATTACAGGGTATTTAGTTTAAAGATAAAGAATAACCAGCACCAATAACTAGTAACCAATAACCAGAACCAAATATTAAATGCCACTTACGTCGGACGTATTGATGACAATCATTTTGAGATAAAGCAGAAACGATGACGTCGATGAGATGAATTGTTATCGTTAGTGCGGGTTCCGGACCCACTCACTCGACATTTAACAAATGTAGGCGACACCACAAAAATAGCACGCTAATCAAAACTTCGCCTCTTGCCCAGGGACCCTGCGTCGAGGGTAGTTTTTACTCTTTATCAGTATTTATTTGTTTAATTGTGAGAGAGCTTTGGTCACGCGCGAGATGCGAACATGAATAATAATATCATATAAAAGGTGCATATGCATCTACTATAAATATACATAGGTATAAAGAGAGTTTTTTTTATTTTTTAATTTTATTTATATGTGTACATGTATGTATATACATATATAAATATTATTTTATACACAAGTGTCGTAAGTAGCAGCAGGCAATTCTTCGGAAACAATGCTAATAATACGTTTCCATATTTAATTTGACGTAATGGCTATTGATATGCATGTTGAAGGCTTGCTATGTTTCATGGCAATGAAATATAAAGGCGAATACAGACACATATAATTTTAAAATATATTTAAAACTATATATGCAATGTATCATTTGAATAACAATGGAACTCCTTATGAACGCTTTTCTTATCATTGATCTTAGCAAAAAAAAAAATCGATAAGAAAATATCAAATAGATTTGAATCAGGCGACGCCGTGGGTCATTGACAGCTCTCAAAAACACACGTACATTGATATTTATAAGCGCCTATCGCATTATTATTCATCAATTTCATATTAAGAGTTTCACTTCTATGAGAAAGCTCAGGGCGCACAAATAATTGTTTCGCTAACTCGGAGCACGTCACGAAGAATGTTTCCAATAAGACAAAATGTAGACTCACTCCAATTGGAGCGATCAACAGCATGCGGTGGTATGCCAGCTGAAGATATGCACACACACATACATATATATCTTTAGATATACACATAAACACACATCACATTGGAATGGAACATATGTATGTATGGAAGGTATTTAAGTATGTATGGATGTACATATGTATGCGTCGTTCAGTGACGTCAAGTTTCAGAAGAACTGTGCGAATTCTTTTCTTCTTGAGGAGTATCTACAGAAAACGTTAACGTGGCGGGTTAATCGAATTCAAAATGTTGCTTTTAATATCATTTGTATGAACCACTTTTATTTTAGATGAACGTTAGTTGACTTGGCACAGGAGTTTACACTTTGTTATCTTATGCTGATGCTTGATGGGTTTTGTTTTTTTTTTTTTTTTTTGAGGAGCGCTGCCGGCGTTGCAATTGAGAGGCTCCGAACACGACTAAGCAAACATTTACCTATTGTCAGACAATAAAGCGGAAAACGTTGCTATAAAATTGAATTGATGTTTTCTCTGATGGGAGTACATATTTGTGATAAATGGCTGGGAGATACGATATGTGCAGGTATGTAAGTATGTACATTGACAGGTAGAAATAGCCAGATAGAACGAGCGACAATCATGGACAACAACAAATAGCGGCATAAAAACAACGAAGAGAGCAGCCAGACAGGCATTTATACATTATAGAGAGCATAGAGAGACAGAAAGAGAGAAAGCAACACAGCGAGAGCGCGCGCTTCAGACGTTGTCGGTTTTTTACTCACGCGACGAATGGAATATGAAATACCACTTGAAGCACTCGACGGAATTCAATAGCTTGTTTTCTCAATTCGATTTGTAATGCACTTTCTTTTGCGTTGCCTATATTTAATTTGTTGTTGTTTAATGCTTGGCACCACGCAGTCCACAAAAAACGTAATTACGAATTATAATTCAGCAAAGGGAACGTGTACCACGTACAACGCACAACGGCAGCAAATATCGAACTGAGGCGGCAAAGCTGACATGTCAAGAGCATAGCAGCTGGAGCATGAGAGCGATAGAGATGGAGAGGCGCTGTGTGAGCGAACGTGGCAACAAGAAGAACGCGCGCAAATTAAGTGAGCGCAGAGAGCCTAAAAAGTACGCGTACATTGGTAATGAGCACTTTAAATTTGCAGAGAATTGAATGGTTAATGTTATTGCAATTGATATGCATTTATAAACAAATTATATGTATATCTATTTATAACACTTTTTTGTTATATGAATCTCAAAATAAATTTTTCGTAGACAAGTAAAACGTGTTTATGCAGCAAAAATAACACAATATATACCACTGTAAGGAGGCAAATACTAGTCATCTTTCTGCAGGTAGTCTAGAGCAAAAGAAAAAGAGAGAGAGCGAGAGCGATAGCGAAGAACGCCACTCAGAGAGAATTGAACAAATCCACCAAAGAAAAATGCAAATAAAAAGAAATCAGCAAAAAGAGCGAGAGACCGTGGGAGAGAGAGCAGGAGAGCGGATATTTTCATTGAAATGATCACCAACACATACATATGTATGTATGTATTTAAAGCATTTACAAACGTGGAGAGCTGCGACTCGCGACACTCAGCAATCTTATTGGAATACATTGTTTGTTTAAGTTAGTTGGACCGTGTCTGAGTATGGGTCAAGTTCAAGAGATAATAAAACAATTATCGAGTTGTGAATCGGAAGTTGTATACGCATATAAATCGGTAAATGCCAGTTTTGATTACAATTGTTTTGTCTTATCTAATTGTTCAATTCGTAAAATATGACATTTCTCTGGACTCGTCAAACAGTTTCTCATTGTTCCACTACAAATTCTAATTAGCATGCAAATTGAAACTAGATTTATGTATATCCCATAGACAGCTACATGTGTTTATGACATTATGCAAAAATACAACAATGTAATTTTTAAATTGTATTTAATTGTAAAGATCTTACTATTTCCCAGTTGGAAATAAAATAAGAAAATCTTTAAGACTCGACTGAGTACAAAACTAAAAGCAAGTCATTAGTGGAACTCTATCCACCCTTTTCCTGTTGTCAACCTGAGCAGCAAAAAGGTCTACACCTGTTGATTAATGCTACAAGCACTTTTTACCCATCTCCACGCGACTCGCAACAAAGTTTTGTGGCTGTTTCGTTTTTCTTTGAGTGCGCAAATAATTAGGAAAATTTTAATCATGCTAATCAACTCAGGTACTTTCTCAGGACAAACACAAACCCAACCCAGCCCAACCGAACTCAGCTCAACTCCTTCCAAGTTTGCTTGGGTTTTTTCTTATTATTTTTCATCTTGCAATCCTATTTGCCGGTAAGCTTTTTACGAGCTACTTTTCATGATTCTGGGCGGAAAACAACTTTGACTAATGATGCTGTCTCGACGGACGATTTTCCAGCTCTGCCCCTCTCTAACTCTCACTCTCTCTGCCTTTCTTTTAGAGAGACAATAATGGGGCAGCGTCGTGAGGTCAAAGGCAGTTGCCACAAACTGTTGGCGCTTCTTGCAAGTCATTATTAATGTACGTCGTTTACTGGGGATCCTGCAGGATGCCACTGGAATTTTGGGGCTTGTAAGGAGCGTAGGAGCGGCTGCAGCAGGTGGTCCCTGCTTCTATACGAAAGTTGTGTTGCGCTAAGTTGCAGCCATTTCTATTGCCACCAAAGGACGCTTTTTGAGCATAGCTGCAACAATTTCCGGCATCAATTGCCACAACAAGGCACAGTGGTAAATAATGTAGCTGAATTGTATTCTATATGCATTTATCAGAGCTCAAATTTAATAAAATATGTGAAACACCAAAGAACTGAAACTGAAATTGACGATAAGAAATTGAATAAGAAAATAAAAAAATAAATAAATAATATATATTCGAAAAGTAGATAAGAATTTGAAGGAAAAGGTAATTAGAAAATAATAGCTATAATTATAGATATGTATAAAAAAGATTGTTATAAATTTATAGATATATTACATAAAAAAAAAGTTAATTAAGTTAATTAAGAATAAATATAAATAATACATTTTATATTTCTCATATATAAAACATATAAAACTACAATAAAGAACATAAAAGCTAAGTGGGAAATATATTTATCAAAAGCAAATATACTACTTTTATATAAGATATATCATAGTATGACTAAAATCATTCAAGGCGCTTAAAAGTTGCCTTATTAAATTGAAAATCAAAACATTCATTGAACAAACTTTTTAATAAACATTTGAAACCGGTAGCAAAAAAGTATATTGAATGCTTCGCATTATTAATCATAAAGAGTCTTTGAGCATTAAATTTAAAACATAGTTCCTCAGTTCGCCTCGCCACAGTCAGAGAAGTCTGAAGTAAACCTCTTTGATTGGTTGCCTGGCGACGACTGTCAACAAGGATTGTCTTCCGTGAGCTGCTTACGAGTTGCAGCTGTGGCCAGAAGTTTGCTTTTGTTTTGAGCATAATTAAAATAAACTAAGTTTGTAGCAGCTAATTGGCATACATATTTTATGGTCATAATGAGAATTGAAGGAGCAGCAAAGGCATAGCCAAATCCCACACACACACACACACACACACACGTGCAGTAAATCAATTGGCTAGATTGTGAATGCATTTGTGTTGACAGTTGTCAAGCATTTTCTAGCTCAATAGCTGCAATCAGAGCTGGCACTCGAAATTGGAATTGTTTATTTCTGCCTCTGTGTGCGGCTCGGGGCTCTGACTGAAAAATGCCAATCGTTCACATACTATAGTATATTGTCCTGCTGACAGTTAGTCTGCCTGGCTGCCATCAGCTGTATTGCCATTGCTGAAATTTGATTTTCGATCCCCAAAAATCACACTTCAATGCATTCGGTTGACACTTCAACGAGCCACAAGCAGCCTCGTTTGTTGTGCAATTCAATTCAATTTCCAGCCAGAGTCTCTCGCCTGTCTGTCTAGCTGTCTATCTGGCTATCTGCGTCTGCTTAGGTTCGCTCATTGCTGGCCAAATTATGCGGCATCGCATTTCACGACCAGAAACCATTTGTTTATTCAGCAGCTGTTGCATTACGCACATTCACATTTGATTGCGCTAAAGCCTTCTGATTGAAGCGCAATCAATGTGATCCAAGAGAATACGAGATAAGGCTAAGCGGAAATGCTAGA